CCCAGTCTAATGGACAAGTTGAAGCTATCAACAAAATAATCAAGCGAACTTTGAAAACCAGCTTGGACAAGGCTAAAGGTTGTTGGCCATAATTTGTACCCCAAGTTCTTTGGTCATACCGCACTTCGTATCGGACATCAACAGGAGAAACCCCATTCTTACTTGCCTTTGGTACAGAAGCAGTTGTCCCAGTTGAGCTTGAGCAAGCAACGTTCCGAGTCCAGAACTACGTGCAAAGCGAAAATGACAAACAACTTACCCTCAACTTAGATCTAGTCGAGGAACACAGAAACCAGGCTCATTTGAGGAATGTCGCCTACAAGCAGCGCATCTCTAACTACTATGACTCAAGGGTCAAACCTCGTTCTTTCAAAGTGGGGGACTGGGTATTGAAGAAAAGATTACTCTGCGACAGGGTCCCGAGTGAAGGAACACTTAGTCCAAACTGGGATAGACCGTTTGAAGTTGTTGGCATCAGTCACCTTGGCTCCTACAAGCTTAGAAGCTCCGATGGCAAGACCCTTGTGTTGGAAGTATGCCCACAAAGCCACTTATTTAATGTAATAGCTTTTGGAACACGATCGGATTTACGTTGTTCCAAGACCTCCGATTTTGTGTATCAACATTCTTCTTACTGAATTTCATTTTTTAAATTTTTTTTTGAAAACATGATCATCTGGCGGATGTAAGAAGATGAAAGGTTCAGATCTTTGATATTTACATTTAACTGAAATATGAGTCGATGTCATATAGTTTGTAGAAACTTTATAAACATCAAGCAATATTTTCACTAACTGTAAAATTCTGAATATAATATCAACGATCCAAACCATTCATCTTCCTGCATCCTCTAATAGATCAAGTTTTCAAAAAAACAAAATTTGATGAGAACAATGAAGCGTAAATGTAAACAACAATCAACGGTTAAATTTTGATCTATGATTTATATGATTATAGTGGCGAATTTTGAAGTTAAGCAAGTTGTAAAGTTTGTCATTACGAGCGTTTATATATTTTTTCTAATTTTTTTTCACACTTCTACATTAATTCAAAAACTATTAAAGACTTTAGGTAAGTGAAATATACTTAAAAGAAAAATGCGTTTTTATGTTTTGGATGTGACAATATGATATGTATATACTTATTTAGTATTATGTTTTTCATTTGATTATTTATTGGTTTAAAATATATTTTCCTTAATGGGTAACGGGTCGGGTCATATTACCTATTAATATTATCGGGTCAATTTCGGGTCGGGTAATTTTACCGTTTATTTTAATGGGTATTACACGACACGACCTGTTAAAATATCGGGTATGACACGAAAATGACACGAACATGGAAAACACGACACGAATGCCAGGTCTAGTGAATGTAAACAACAATCAATAGTTAAATTTTGATGTATAGTTTATGTGTTTATAGTGGTGAATTTCGAAGTTGAGTCATTCACAAAAGTTGTAAAGCTTGTCATTACGACTGTTTATATATTTGTTTTTATATTTTCCACACTTCTAATTAATTAATATTTATGAGATACTTGAAAGACAAATGTGGTTTTATGTTTTGCAGTAATATTTATGCGACAATGTGGTATGTATATACTAGTTTACTATTATGTTTTTCATTTGATTATTTATTGGTTCATGTCGCATCCTTGACTCGACTTCACCGTAGCACGATATTGTCTGCTCTGAGCTTACCATTCCCTCACGGTTTTATTTTTGGGTTTCGGCACGAGAACCTCCCAGGGGGGTCACCCATCATAGGACCGCTCTTGTCCAAACTCGCTTAACTTCTGAGTTCTTATGGGGATCCGGAGCCAGTGAGTTCCCAAAAGGCCTCGTGCTATAGGAAAGAGAGCATGTACATATAACGCACATCACCCCCTCTCCATTGGTCGATGTGAGATCTTACAATCCACCATACTTAAGGGGAACCCGGCGTCCTTGCCGGCACATCCGCATCGAACAGCAGAGTGGCTCTGATACCAAATTGTCACATCTCAGACTCGACTCCGCCGTAGCACGATATTGTCCCCTTTGGGCTTACCATTCCCTCACGGTTTTGTTTTTGGGTTTCGACATGAGAACCTTCGGGAGGGTCACCCATCCTAGGACCGCTCTCGTCTAAACTCGTTTAACTTTGGAGTTCTTATGGGATCCAGAGACAGTGAGTTCCCAAAAGTCTCGCGCAATCTTACATGTTGAGTTCGGGTAGGGCCATATTAGCCGTTCGTTTTAACGGGTGTTATATGACACAACCCATTAAGATATGGGGTATGACACGAAAACGACTCGAACATGGAAAACATGACACAAATTCTTGGTCTAATTCGATGAGAACTAAAGAAAGATCTCTTCTCTCTCTTCACCCACGACCACTTTTCTCCACTTTACTCCACCTTCTCTCCCACCACCTCTCTCCTCACTCTCTCCAACTCCAACCTTGAAACTGGTAAATTTGGAAAAATAACCAAATTTTAGACTCCATATAGAATTATAGCCATCATTTTAATTTTATGATAATTATAGCCAAAAATTGATGTAAAAGTACTATTACCCTTGATATTAGGGTTTCTCACAATAAACAAAATACAAACCTTTAAACTACCTTAAAATAATGATTAATCTCTATCACTTTTTTTTTTGTTTTTCATTATTCTCTATAATTTTTAAACTACTTTTTTCAACTTTCTGAATTTTTGCAAAAGGATACAACAACTTTATTTTTACCTTTGGCTGCACTTTCATTATTCAATCACCTATCAATTTTAAAATCTTATTTGAAGTACCAAGATGCCTAACAATTTAATTTCTAAGGCTTTGTTTTTTTTTTTTAAATCACGTTTTTATTCTGGTTAAAAGGTTGCAGACATCCAAAGTTATTGTTAAAGGTTGCAGATTTAAAGGTAGTTTAAAGGTTACATAGAATAATGAAAACAAAAAATGATGGAGATTAATTTCTCAAATTGATGCCAATTTTCCAAAAATAATGTGGAAATTCGGAAAATTCTCTCCATCTATATTCAGATTTGCAGTATTATTGGTTGTTGTGAGAAATCTTGATATTAAGTGTACAGTAGTACTTTAACATCAAGTTTTGATTACAATTATCATAAAATTAAAGCAATAGCTATAATTCTATATGAGATCCAAAATTGGGTTATTTTTCTAAAATCCCCCCCCCCAAACTTGAAACAGAGCTCCCACCACCTAGCTATCTTTAGCCGCCCATCTCTCTATTTTACCCGACGTCATTTTAGGCACACTCCTACTTCTCACCAAAATCACCGTCCCAACTTCCATTCCCTCTTCCAAAACCATACCGTTTCTCACTCTGTCACATATTTTCCTCAAAACTCCAATCTCTTTCTCCCTCCTCTGCATCTCCGCAACCACCATGACAGTGTTCGAAACCTCAAACGTCGCCAAACACCCACCTCTCAGAAAATTTGGGATTGCCATATACAATGTCATCTTTACTTGATAAGGGTGGATTTCTCATCCCCACATCGTCATTTTGGAGCCTGATCACATCCGCGCATCGGCCTTCTAGGAAAAGATACTGATCTTCTTCCTCCACGACACCCCTATCACATGTTCGAAGAAATGCCTGACTCAACTTGTTCTTTAGTCTTCTGTAGCAAATTACACAAACACCCTCAACCATATTATTACTAGCCCATTGTAATTGATAGCCTATTGTAGACCCGGCAGTTTCTGACACGACATGATGACAAGACACGAAAATGACATGAAAATAACGGGTTTCAAGTCAACACAATAAATAATCGGATCATTATCGGGTGATCCGTTATGAACCCGTTAATAACAGGCTCTTAACAGGTATACACACGAGTAACCCGTTTCGACCCATTAAGAAAAAAATTATTTTGATAATTTTAAAGTTTAATTACTAAAAGATTTATTATAAAATACAATAGCCATATTAATATATACAATATATTCTATATTAAATATATAGTTTTGTATTATTATTCTATATAAGTTTAAAAAAAAGTTTTAGTCATTATTTATTTTTATTATGAGAATTCCTTATTATCATTACTAGGATAAATTTTACTTAACATGTTGTTGTCCAAAATTAAAATAAACTAGTATAGTATTTTTATAGGCAAGAACTAAAAAGATATACATACAAGTATGAAAAATATGAAAGAATATATAAACACTCGTGATTCGTCGTTATTCCTCCACGAGTAGATAATTGTTACACTAACATTATAATAATATTTTTTATTTGAGGGCAAAATTAATAATAATTATTGTAGAAGTGTAAAAAATGTAAAAAAAATATACAATCACTCATAGTAACAAGCTTTACAACTTTCATGAAGGGGTCAACTTCGAAATCCAACACTATAATCCATAAACCTTATAAACATCAAGAAATATTTTCACCAATCGTAAAACTTTGAATATAATATCAACGATTCAAACCGTTCATCTTCCTGCATCCTCTAATAGATCATGTTTTCAAAAAAGAAAATCTGAAAAAACAAAATTTGATGAGAACAATGAAGCGTAAATGTAAACAACAATCAATGTTTAAATTTTGATCTATGATTTATATGATTATAGTGGCGAATTTTGAAGTTAAGCTCTTCATGAAAGTTGTAAAGCTTGTCATTACGAGCATTTTTATATATATTTTTTACACTTCTACATTAATTAAAAAACTATTAAAGACTTTACTTAAATACTTTTTTATTTTTTGGATGTCATAATATGGTATGTATATACTTATTTAGTATTATGTTTTTCATTTGATTATTTATTGGTTTAAAATATATTTTCCTTAACGGGTAACGAGTCAGGTCATATTACCTGTTAATATTATCGGGTCGATTTCGGATCGGAGCATTTTACCTGTTTATTTTAATTGCTGTTACACGACATGACCCGTTAAGATATCGGGTCTAAAATACCAAACCTGCCCAATTTTTCTTCTGGATTCTCTCTCACAGCCCGAGCCCACGCAGTTTCGTGGTCAATCTCTCGGTCATATGAAACCCAAACTCCGAGCCACAGACCAAGGCACCTCCCCTCTGCGCGAAGAATCAGATAGTTCATTTTTCTTGGCAGAAAATTTACAGATTTCGATTCCCTCCATAAATGCAAATACCCAGATGGAGAAACGTCTTGCTCCTCAAGAATTCATTGGTTTCATCAACTTCTGCAGCTACCCGTTTCGCTTCATTCCATTCTACTCCTGCTTCGTGTGAGAAGTGGAAGAACAAATGGACCTTTGTGAGTTTACTTTTCTCCTTTTTCTTTCATGCGTGAAAAATAAAAAGATGGTTAATTGGTCTTGTTTGTTATGTTCCTTTGCTCAATACCCAATTGAGGAAATTTTGTAAATCATGTATTCATTCTGTTTGTTTGGAGGGGTTAATTATAATTTATATGATCAAGTTAGGATTTTGGGTTGGTAAATAATTAAATGGAGAAGGAAAAGATTAATTTTCGTGTATAAATAGCGTGGTGTTCATCTTTCGTAGATGCTTTATAAAATTTTCTTTATAATAATCAAATGTTGCTGTCCATAAAGCAATACCAATACGTTTTTAATGAAATGAGATCGGTTCTTTTGTAATTGTTCATAAGCAGAGCTTTCTTTATGCAAACGCGTTATCTAGTTGCTCTGTGCTCGTCAGTATTTGTATTTTTTTCGATACTGTGAAGCTGACAATGTCCTTGATTGAGGATTGTTTAGTTTCCACTATTATTCTTTTAGTTGTTGGGGGAATTCTAAAATTTTGTTTCTCATTGCGAATCTGTACGATTCCATCGTATGACTTGTTTTATCTTTTTGTAATCAGAATTTTATGGTGCATATAAAATGCATGTGAACCATGAATTTGATTTCCATAAAGTTTGTCTTTTTTTTTTTCAATTTTTTTTGTTTATTTATCAGAGTTATATGTGTTCGGGAATCACTTTGTAGGTTTTCTTTGATCACTTTCCTCTTAAAACCAATGATGGAATAGCTGACAATCGTGTGCTTAATCTTTTGGCATTCTTGTCATTTGGTGTTAAGTTTGTTCACAACCTTTTTGGCTATTTTGAAGGTTTAATTTGGGCCATTTTCTCTGTTCAATTAACCTTAGGTTGGTTACCCTAGTATGTGAAGATATTTATCCTCTCTTTGCAGTAAAGGCTTGCAATACTGTTGGTCTTGGCACTGAGTTTTGGTCATTATTTTTAAGTTTTTAATATTATTGTTCTCTCACCTTTGACTTCAAGGTATGGAGAATCTGTAAGATAAGTGGTCAGATGTCGGTCGTCTTGTTTGCGTTCTGTTGGTCTGATAAGGGGTGGGGTTCCTTGAGATCCTAACAGTGTTAGGTGTAGTTCAAAATTTGAAGGTTTTATCAATCATATTTGCTATGCATCCCGGGGTAATTTTTTTGTGTCATCTGTATCTTCAAGTTTGTGATGAAAGCTTACCTGTTTTAAAATCCTTATAATTTTATTAAGTAACACTGTTTTACTTTGTATGAGAATAAATGATGATTCAAATGTTTTTGCAGGATGTAAAAAGCAGTCAACAACCAACAAAGGTATTAAGTTTGTTAATTTCGCAATTTTCCTATAGCATGTGAAAATACATGCCAATAGTGCAAGGTTGGAAGCAAAAAGTGGCACCGCACACATGGCCGTTATCTGTTCTCCTCGTTTATTGATGCTATTTCCACATAATTTTTCAGAGTTAGTGAAGTTTGGTTGTTTGGTTGTTTGTTTGGAAACAAAAATTCTAAGAATTAATTTCAATTCCCAGTTTTAAGTTTTAACACAATTAGTTCCTATATAAAAAATGTCAATTCCCAAATTCAATTATTTTTTTTTTCCGTGATCCTTATAAAAGAAAGCACTTACGGTAAGATTTGTTGGATTTAAACGTCCATATTCCTCAAAATATTTTTCTGAAGTATGAGTTTATTTCATCATATTAAATAAAACAGCGGTTTCCTATTTATTACTATGGAATCAATTTGAGGTTTAAGGGTATTGAACAGACATATCACTAGTCGGAGAAGGAGGACACACCCTTCCCCACATCTTCTCTTTTTTCATCGCCAACAAGACCAAGAAAACACAAAAGAACGAGAAGTTCTCAAGATACAGAGTTTTCAACTGAAGAACAGACTTGTATCATCAGGCTTTTTATTATTATTTTTTTTCTTTCTGTAGTCTGATTCTCCTCTAAAATCAATCGCTAAGCATCAAAATACTATCTTGATGCCCGAGATACTGTCATTAATCTTCAAGATAGTATCTTGATGCTTAATGATTGATTTTGAAGGAGGATTTTGTCTTCAATCTACCTTATGAGGTCTGATTCTTGAGACAATAGGAAAATGAATGTTCTCGACCTGTGATTTAGATATGGATGCTCTCAATCTGTGATATAGATATGAATGTTCTCAACCTGTGATTTAGTATAAAGAAAGGTTGTGCTACATAGGCAAATTAGTGTTCACCGATCCACAGATTCTAGGAGCATCTCCAGTAGGTCATTGCGTTGCAGAGACAGAACAGGCATGCGTGTGTGTAAAAGTATTAAACATTTAGAAAGATGGATTTTGATAAGTGACCAATTTGAAAATAACTGTGCTCCACTAACCACTATGCGACTTTAGAATTGTTGTCATTAATGTTTTGCTTGGCACATGTGGTACTTAGGAATTTAAGAAAGATCCTGATCTATATGTGTGTCTGCCTCATATGAAAATTGTAGCTCTAAGCAATTGAAAGGTCTTGAAACAGGCATTCTAGGTTCTTTAGTCATGGATGGTTCAGTGCTCTCTTTCTGGGTCATTTCCAGTCGCAATCTAAGTGAAAATCATATGCTAGGCATTGTGAATAATCTATCATATAATATTAGTGTGTTTTTAATGCTGGCGTAATAATTGATTGCCTACTATGCTGTCTTTTGGTGATTTTAATCTGTGCATTCACTCCAGCTGCCGTTAATTGCCAACTTCATTGTAGCTTGGTGTTAGGATTTTTGGCTCGTCAAATATGTCCTAGTCGGTTTGGGTTTGTTTTAGGAAAATTAGAGGTATACCGATTCTTGTCCTAGAGGGATTAGCAAAGAATTTCAGTTTTCCTTATTCAATTTAGGTTTGGATTTCTAGAAGTCTATTTGGATTTGGATAAGTGTAATTTCCTAATTCACTAAGAAATAGGAATTCAATCAGCCTTGGGACATGTAAGCCTACCCTATGCCTATAAATAGGGTGCGGCAATGCTTAATTTTTAGAGAGAAAAACAGCCAGAGACAGCCGAGAGTTTTGAGATTAGTTCTAGGGTTTGCAAAAGTTCAACTGGACGTAGGCAAAAGTTTTGCCGAACCAGTATAATTCTTGTGTGTTTCTAAGTTTTTCTATATTTGCTAGTTTAGTCTATTGCCATTCGTTACATTAAAGAATAAGGTCTAGTGGGTGTGTTTTCCAACAATTGGTATCAGAGCTAAGATCTAGGTGTTCTGCAATGTCAAAAGGGAAGATGAATGCGGATCCAGGACCTACGTTAAAGCCCTTTGATGACAAGGATGACTTCACGGACTGGCAAAGAATGGTGAAGAACGTACTGATACAGCAGGATTTGGATGATGCACTCGATGGTGAGAAGCCGGAAAACATGACAGAAGTAGCATGGACTAAGGTTCTCAAGAAGGCCAAGAGTTCCATTGAGATCCATCTCACAAGATCAGTTTGGTCACACATCACCGAAAAAAATAACTGCCCAGGAAGCATGGGAAAAGTTGGACAATGTTTATATGGGCAAAACCGTGTCCAATAAACTTTTTCTAAAGGATGAACTATTCGGGTTTCGACTAGAAGGAGGTGATATTGATGATCACGTATGCAGGTTCCAGAATTGCATAGCTAATCTTCAGAAGGTCGAAGAAACTCTAATGTATGGAGCATTTTCGAACAACTCTAATGTTTGGAAAAGAGTCCCTGAAGCTTGAAGACATAATTCAAGCTCTTCAGTCAGATGCTAAACTGGATGATATAACTGAAAGCTCTCAAGGCCTTTATGCCAAAGGCAAGGAGAGGGGGCGGGAAAAGACAAAGGAAGAGAAAACTAGCAACAGAGGTAGGTCAAAATCCAAGAAGAAAAAGGAAAAGAAGGAAGGTTGCTTCGAATGCGGTTCAGCCGATCATTGGAAGAGGAACTACAAGATTTGGAAAGAGAAGAAAGCCAAGATGGAAGGAAGCTTAGGTTTAGCTAGTGCAATCACCAAGCATGAGAATGACGGGGAGCTTTTTTCAGTAACATCGGGCTCCAAGGCTTGCACAAATTGGATTTTGGATACCGGATGCACATTTCATATGTGTGCAGTAAGAGAATGGTTCAATATATACAAGGAAGTCAACAGTGGGGAAGTCTTAATGGGGGCCGATTCTTCATGTCCTGTAAGAGGAATCGGCACTGTTCGAATCAGAATGTTCGATGGGATGATACGAGCTTTAGGGAACGTCTGGTATGACCCTAGACTAAGAAAGAATTTGATTTCCTTGGGTGCTTTAGATTAGGCCGATTATGGGTACAAATCTAAAAAAGGAAGACTCAGGGTAACCAAAGGATCACTAGTGGTAATGCGGCGTGACCTACAACCCAATAAGTTGTATAAGTTAATTGGGATCACTATAGTCTGGGGAGCAGCTGTTTCTGTAAATCAGAGTGTAGAAGATAAGACTGAACTCTGGCATCATAGGCTCAGTCGGGCACATAAGCCAAAAAGGGTTGCAAGAATTGCACAAGCAAGGCGTGTTGGAAGGCGTGTCATCTTGCAAACTGGGCTTTTGTGAATATTGTGTTCTTGGAAAGCAAAGAAAGGTATCATTTGCAAGTAGCAGTGCAGATAACCGAAGCAAGGAACAACTCAGCTATATTCACTCAGATGTTTGGGGCCCTACACCAACTAAAGCAAATGGTGGAGCCATTTTGTTACTTTCATGGATGATTTTTCTAGGAAGGTTTGGGTTTATTTCATGAAGCAGAAATCCGAGGTTTTTGCAAAATTCAAGGAATGGAAAACAGAAACCGAGAATCAAACTGGAAGAAATATCAAGAACCTGAGAAGTGACAATGGAGGTGAATATACAAGTAATGAGTTCATCGATTACTACAAGCAGGAAGGCATCATAAAGCACTTCACAGTAAAGAAGAATCCCCAACAAAATGGACCTGCTGAGAGCATGAACCGAACTCTCATGGAGAGAGAGAGAGGAGTATGCGATTTCATGTAGGATTGCTTGATAGTTTTTGGGCAAAGGCTATTAATCATGCAAGTTATTTGATTAACAGGTCACCATCTATAGTTCTCGGTTTTAAAAGTGCATAAGAGGTATGGTCTGAGAAGCCGGTGGACTATTCCAAGCTCAGGGTGTTCGGCTGTAGTGCTTATGCACATATTCCAAGTGATGAAAGGTCCAAGCTCAAACCGAAGTCTACACATTGCATATTCTTAGGTTTTGAGAAAGGAGTTAAGGGTTTCAAGCTTTGGGATTTCAACAACAGGAAAAAGGTTGTCAGTCGAGATGTTGTCTTTGATGACACAACCATGCCTCTAAATAAAGTCGAGAGCAGTAGGGGAAGACAGATGATGCTGAAATTGAAGCAACAAAGATTCCATTAATCAGTTCAGATGAAGAAGCTTAGGTGGAGCAAATCGAGCAAGAGGCCGAATCTGATGGTTTTGAGGAAGAAGAAGAGCATCAGCATCATTCACCAGTTAGGAATCAGGTGGAGCAAGAAACTGGACATATTGAAGGCACTCCAATCCGCCAAACATCCCAAGGGGTTCAAACTCCAACCAACAATCCACCTACATCACAGAGATGCATAGCATTGGACAAACCTAATTGGAACAAGAAGAAACCTGACAGATTTGGGTTTGACCAAGACGAAGTTAATTATGCTCTTAACATTAGTCAAGGAGATCCGACTACTTATCGAGAAGCTATAGCAAGTGATGAGCGAGATAGGTGGATAAGTGTTATGACAGAAGAAATGGAGTCGCTTTACAAGAACTTTGTGTAGGAGTTCGTTTCTAAGCCCAAAGATAGAAAGCTAGTTGGATGCAAGTGGGTATTTAGGAAAAAGGAAGGACTACATGAACAAGATGCCGTGACATTCAAAGCAAGGCCATGGCTAAGGGGTACTCACAAAAGGAAGGGGTGGATTATGATGAGATCTTTTCACCTGTAGTCAAGCATACTTTTATCAGATTACTTTTAGCAATGGCAGCTTAGCATGACATGGAGATTGAGCAGATGGATGTGAAGACATCGTTTCTTCATGGGGATCTAGAGGAGACGATTTTCATGGCTTAACCAGAAGGGTTTGTTGAATATGGGAAAGAGAACCTAGTATGTCAGCTAAGGAAGTCCCTGTATGGCCTGAAACAGTCTCCAAGGTAGTGGTACCAGAGGTGTGATTCCTTCATGCTGAAAATCAATTTTAGAAGATGTTTATATGACTGTTGCATGTACTATCATGTGTTCCAAGATGGGATGATCATATTACTATTGCTATATGTGAATGACATGCTAATTGCTTGTCAAGACAAGTCTAGAATTCAAGACTTGAAGAAGATGTTGAGCGAGGAGTTTGACATGAAGGATCTAGGTGCTGCACAGATGATCCTTGGCATGGAAATTCAGAGAGATAAGACCGTTGGAAAGATCTGGATCTCACAAGCCAAGTATATTCAGAAGGTTCTTGAGAAGTTCAACATGCAAAAGCAAAGGTAGTCTCGACTCCCTTGGCAGCTCACTTCAGGTTAAGTGGGCAACAATGTCCTACATTCGAGGAAGAGCAACAAGTAATGGAGAAGGCGCCTTATGCTAATACCATGAGCTATCTCATGTATGCAATCGTATGCACACATCCCGACATAGCTCAAGCAATCAGTGTCGTTTCCAGATACGTGGCAAATCTAGGAAAGCAACATTGGGATGCAGTCAAGTGGATTTTGCGTTATTTGAAGGGTTCTTAGCGACAAAGTATTATGTTTGAGAAGCAAAAAGAAAATGCAGGGGTGTTAGGATATGTGGATGCCGATTATGTAGGGGACTTGGACAAGAGAAGATCAACTTCTGGTTATGTGTTTACATGTGCAGGAGGACCAATTAGTTGGAGGGCACTACTACAACCAATTACAACTTTGTCGACCACAGAGGCAAAGTATATTGCATTGGCCGAATTTGGAAAGGAAGCAATTTGGCTTAGTGGCTTGGTAAGTCAAATGGGAATCACTCAAGGTTGTGTGAAGCTGAAGTGTGATAGTCAAAGTGCCATTCACTTGGCAAAGAATCAAGTTTTTTCTGGAAGATCAAAACACATTGAAGCAAGGTATCACAGAATCAGAGATTGGGTGGAGTCTAAGGAGATTTGGATTGAAAAGATTCATACGGATGACAACGCCACAGATTTCCTTACAAAGATAGTGCCGGCCAAGAAGTTCAAGCATTGCTTGAACTTGATCAATCTCGTTGGTTGATCAAAGGAAGCACCTCCTCACTTGAGGTGCAATGAGGCAAGGAGAAGATTGCCAAGGTGAAGACTCTTGAAGATTTCCAGAGCTGCTTCAAGAAGGTTCAAAGATACTATGGGGTGCAACGATCAAGACTTGGTTTGACTCACCAAGGTGGAGATTGTTAGGATTTTTGGCTCGTCAAATATGTCCTAGTCGGTTTGGGTTTGTTTTAGGAAAATTAGAGGTATTCCGATTCTTGTCCTAGAGGGATTAGGAAAGAATTTCAGTTTTCCTTATTCAATTTAGGTTTGGATTCTAGAAGTCTATTTGGATTTGGATAAGTGTAATTTCCTAATCCACTTAGAAATAGGAATTCAATCAGCCTTGGGACATGTAAGCCTACCCTATGCCTATAAATAGGGTGCGGCAGGGCTTAATTTTTAGAGAGAAAAACAGCCAGAGACAGCTGAGAGTTTTGAGATTAGTTCTAGGGTTTGCAAAAGTTCTGTAGTCTCTATTATTAATCAAAGGAGCGGTGATTTGCCGAACCAGTATAATTCTTGTGTGTTCTAAGTTTTTCTATATTTGCTAGTTTAGTCTATTGCCGTTGGTTACATTAAAGAACAGGGTCTAGTGGGCGTGTTTTTCAACACTTGAAAAGCTTAATGTTTCCCCTGCATCAAATTGCTTTTAGTTATGTTTGATCAAAATCTTGCTAATAAGCAAATGCATCCTTATATTGCATTGTTTTTCTTTTGTCTAACCCCATGCTGGAGATGTAGTGCTTCCCTTATCATTATCCAAATTGTGTTGCCTTTTGTTTTTGAAATACTCTGTTAAATAAATGTTAACAAAAGCCATGGTTGGTCTTTAACCTGCTAGACATTTATTAGCTTTCCAGCGTTCTAATTCAGATGATTTTATATCGTAATCTGAGTCCCAAGTTAAATTGGTTGCCCATAGAGATGCGAGATGTGTAAGCATAATTTGTATTCCATGTTAAATCTGTTTTCCTCCTCTCTGACGTGTGAAATGTGTATTTTAGAGTTACATCAGATACGAAACACGTCAGAAGCGTGCGGATGCAAAGAAGGCCTTGAAAAACCTCCTCTTCAACAGTGGGTCCTCTAAAGGTTTATTTCATGACATTCAGGTAGACTCATCCTCGTGTTTTTAGTTTATAGTGGTCTTACTGGAGTACATGTATATAAAACACTTTGGAAATTGTGTTGGTTTACACATGATGTTAAATTGAGGGTGGGCATGGGCATCACCATGCACTGAAATGTCCTATTTTTTTGTTGCACTAAAATGTTAAATGGACTTTGAGGATACTTTTGGACATTAAGTTTTGATCGAATGTCCTTGAATTCAACTTTGTTTTGGATATAGCTACACATAATTTAAATCAACTCCTTAGAAAAAGAAATTTTCAAAAAGAGTGATGAAAAGATCATAATTGATGTTGTTGGAGCCTAAAATTTATCCTTTGCTGCCAATCATGAGATAGTTCTAAGTATTTTAATGGTCTTGTGGATCCTTAATTGTTAATCCAGATGATTTGTAAACCAGCAAAGGACAGATTCCCCCATGAACTTTCAGAGTTTCAGTAAATCTAGTACTTGATATTATATTTGCTCCACATTCCAAGACCTCTTGTGTTTAGAAGTGCTTTTAAAATGACTGAAAATGCTTTTGGAACCAATCCTTAGTAAAAATGCAACTGAATCCAGGAAATGCACTTGGAACTGCTTCCTGCAAGAAGCCAAGAAGCGCATAACTGGTGCTTCTTCCAAAATGCATTTCAAGTGCTTTTGGAACCCAAAAGCAGTTATACCGAAGCACTTTCAGTCATTTTAGAATTATTCCAAACGAGCCTACTCAGTTTGTCTTCCAGTTTACCTATAGTGCTTCCCTGATTTATTATGAATGTATCTACTTATGGTAAAAAAAAAAAAACTGTATCAATTTTTCCATGTATTGATATTGTGGTTTGTTTTCAATGTTAATTAGAATGAAGATTTTTCGGGTAGCTCTCCTAAGAAACATAGATCAAGATCTTCTCGACATGCTGAGAAATCGCAACAAAAGAAAATGAAAAGTGAGCTTTTCTTATTGTTTCGTATCTAAACCTTTCTCTCCCATGTTTTCTATATCTGATAATTTGTTTATGTATTCAATTTTTGTCGGGTAAGGCTAGCCGACATTCACCTCTCCCAGACCCTGCGTAAAGCGGGAGCCTTGTGCACTGGGTACGACCTTTTTTATCTGTAATTTATTGTGTGTGATTTTTCACCTGCATCTGAGCTATATCATATGCCGATCTACTCATCCTCATTTCAACAAGTAGGTTTTTTTGGTGATAGAGACATTTTGTGTACTCTTATCTGGATGGTGGGTATCTTTTCCACAACTGGACACGATGTCTGAACTCTACGCAATTTTATTTGATGGAGTCTTAATTCCGACATCTGGACATGAGGTCTTAACTCTAATGAATTTTATTTGATGAAGTCTTTCTTCCCACAACCGGACACGAAGTCTTAACTCAAAGTGCATGTATGGCTGTAGGAAGCCCTGATGTGGTTTCCTATTGAACATGTGTATAGGTTTTGCACTTAATTAGAGTCATTGCTTCTTGGTAAACATGTGAATAGGATACATGCTTTTGATAATTACTCCTGTTTCGCATGAACTTCTCAATTGTACAGAAAAATATGCTGGTTTTTTTTTTTTTTGGGTTAAACAAACATATTATAAGCACATTATGCAGCTCTGTATTAAAACAATGAAATTTTGAATATAATAATTTGAATACTACATGGATGTATGTTATATGTAATTTTTTAGGTCCCTTATATTACTATACTATGGACTCTTTCCCACAAAATTGTGGGCAAATATTCAACCTCAACAGAAAGAAAACTTAGCTATAAGAGCTAAATTGTTTCACCTACAAATTTAAACCTGAAGCTAATTACATACTAACTCCAGCTACCTTCCATTCCATCCTGGTGGATTGGAAGATAAGAAAGAGTAGGTTATTGCACAAATAATCTCAGGTTGAAATACTGATATTCTTGTTATTCTCATCCCATTTGCTTGATGGGTGGTTGATAGATGTGCTGAAATGCAGCATGATCATTGTATGATGCACTAAATTCATGTATTGTCATTTTAAGAATGCAGTACAATGATCTAGTCTTTTTTCTTAGTGTTTCTCTTGAACATGGTGTCAAAGCAGTAGATTTATTCACGTGTTAGACCTAGCTCGGTCACACATGCTCCACATTGCTCAATATAATTGACTTGTGTGTTTGGCTCAGTCTGGTCACATTTGAGGGGGCCTATTGAGAATATAAGATCTTACATCGGGTACTCTAAACTTGTGTGGGGTTGGATGTCTAACTTTTAACAGGGGAGAAAGACAAACTGTGGGTCATATGTTTTAATCAAATCAGAGGTATTCACCCAACCATGTGTACGATTCAAGCGGGAATTTGTACCTTAAGAGGTACTTAGGTGTCCAAATCAGATAAGAGGGATACAAAAGTCGGAAGAAATGGACTGCCACATGGCTCATTAAGTATTTTTACTACTAATCTTATGGTGAAAGCAGTAGATTTTTTAAACCCCGGCCGTTCTTTTTCTGGTAGGTGGTTAAAAAAGGTTATGATTTGTTTGCATTACTTTATCCTACAAACTTTATGGTTCTCTCTGTTACTTGTTCAGGGAAGTTTAAAAGAGAGAGTTTCTCTGAAGACTATGACAATGATCCTGAGAAAATCTTTCGGGCGACATTTGGAAAGAAATGGTACACCTGGTCTTTTAACTCACGACGTGACTCTTCTTACCAAGATTCAGAATCTGGATTTGAGTGGAGAGAGCAATCGAGCTGGAAAAGTAGAAGTAAAAGATGGGAGAATAGTAGTGACACAGAATCTGATGACAAATCACGTACTATAGGATCATTTTCTGATAGAACAATTCTCGGTCTGCCTCGGACAGGTCCTTTAAAGACCGAAGATGTTAAAAAAGCGTAAGTTGATATTTTATTTTTTTCATATTCTTGAACTCTTTTTCTTTTCGATTCTACCATTTTTTTTGGATATTACTTAATCCTTTTATTCCTTCTGGCAGTTTCCATTTATCAGCTTTAAAATGGCATCCTGACAAGCATCAAGGCACTTCACAGGTTAGTTGTTCATCTTTTGATCTTTGACAAATTTTACTTGTTTAATGCTTTTGAATGTAAACAATGTTCAAGATAATATTCAGTTGTTAGCCGTTAGCTATGTATGCAAAATTTACGGGTTAAACAGCCTTTTAATTTTTGTTTTAGTCCACTGTATAAGTATGGATCTTCATTCTTCAGTGCATAATATGAATTTGACAGTATCTTATGAGCAATCACAATGCCACAAAGAAAATGAAATTGACCAACTCTCATTTATTTGAGCGGGTTTTAATGCTGCCGCTGTGATTGTTTTGCTGCACCCTCTGCTTAACTTGCGGTTGTTTCTCTGCTGTGTGCTCTAGTTTCTTGCTCGTCATATTAGCATTACATAAGAGCTCTACAATTTCTGTTTCATTGTTATATACTTGTAAGATAGTCGTGTATCTTTGCAGGAAATCGCCGAAGAGAAATTTAAACTTTGTCTTAATGCCTACAAATCTCTGTGCAATGCATTATCCCCGGCCTAAGCCACGGCCTCAGCTCAGAAGGTTCCGGTTGTGTGCATTCACGATTCGAAATGTGCATCAAGTGGAATTGTGTTGAATCTATTGACAAATTTAGAAAGAAAGCAAAAAAGGACAATCTCAAGAAGTTTCACTAGAAATCTCAGCACCCAGTCATTATTATGTCTGTCGAATGTTCACTTGGGTGGGTTTATCATCCTTTTCAAATACAAATTCCAATTCAAACAACGGATTTTCTATGATGCTAGAAAGTATATTCTGAATTTTTTAACCGTTAGATTTTTAGTTGGAAACACAAATAAGAATTTGACCATGTAAGAGAATGTTCATTATGCTGTCAAAGAAAAGAGAAAAATCAACTGAAATAATTATTTTTATAAATTTTAATTGCTAAACTAATCAAAATCAAGCACTGGCGATATATCAATCAAATACTCAAAAGGAAAGAGATAATAATTTCATTAATAGAGATTAATAAATTGATCGCTCCTGTCAAAATCTCAAAAGGAAAGAGAGAGATATTTCAATTTTCCAGGACAGAAACTTGGTACATCCAAAATATAAGAAAAGGAGAGGAATAAAATTTGGATTCTAAACTTTATATCCCTCGAAATTTTTAAATTACAAGCGATATTTGTTCCAAGCTGCGAGTTCAACCAGTATGCAGTGGCTGAAGCAGATCTCAACTAACTTAAACAAAAAGGCAAAAAGAATGTAACTAAAAACAGAGGAGAACAACAGAGGAAGAGACCATGAAGCAGTAGATGAGGATCAAGAAGGCAAAATGGCAAGCCCAGTTCCTCTTGAACTTCGCAAAGTAGGCCTCCGGAGGCTCCTGGTAGTGAATCTCAAATTCCTCGTCGGAAATCGGGGCATCGAATTCATCGCTCAGCCTCACCTTCATCTCCCTCAGCTTCTCGGTGGCGAGTCCCAGCGTCAGCTTGTGGCAGCGCCGCTGGTACTTGAACCCGTTGATGCACCGGAGCGTCTGCGCCACCGAGACGTAGAAGATGAGGTGGGCCAGGGAGAGAAGGATGATTGGGACCCAGCAGTGGCGGCACTGGAGGCGTGAGGAGGCAGAGGACTGGGCGGAGAAGACGAGGGCGAGGAAGATGAAGAAGAGGATGAAGAGCTTGTGGAGCTCCTTCTTCTGGAGGTCGATGGACCTCTTCTTCTCGAGGGTTTTCTCGAAGTGGAGCTGTATGATTGTGTTTATGGCTTGCACAGCTCTCTCTTTGGGGATTCCGCCGCCACCGCCTGACTGTTGCTGCAGCTGATGCCTCTCGTACTCCGCCATTGATGGTGTAAAGGCGGCCGAGCTTGAGAGAATAAACTCTCCCTACTCTCACACTGATGGTGAAAAGATGAACTTTTGGCACGGATCTCGAAAAGTTTATCTTTTCTTTTCCTTTTTGCCCCTTGATTTGCTGAATTTTTTTTCTGTAGGAGCCAAACTTACCTTCTTTTACAAATTACTCCCTCTGGTTCTTTGCAAGCAAGACACAACTAGGTAAGGCATCAGACAAAAGAATCTCTCGTCCTTTGCCTTCGCACGACTGCTTACAAAGCTCTGTATGGGGTTTGTTGCGCGGCTAAGTCACCGTTTGGTGCTTATTTTCTCTAGAAAATACCTTAAAATGGGATAATTTTTTAATCTTGAAATATAAATAGGATTTTTTTTTTGTTATGCACAAAGAATGCATACGCTATTTTCTACACCTTGAAATGACCTAATTGTTCTCCCATATAAATGGGTAGGGATGGTTCGGTATGGAATACCGAACCGAAACTAGTAACTCGAATCCTAAACCGAAATTTTTTGGGACTGGAATTTGAAGACCAACCCAAACCAAATTTTCGGGAATCCCAAAATATTTTCGAGAATTTGGGACAAATCGGGTGCCACAGCCCGTCCCAAATATATATTTATCGACGGCGTGAATTGACAAAAATACCCTTGGACGTTAGTTGTGTAATGTGGTTTAAGTGTGATTTTGGGTCAATATTCTTAAATCCTAATTGTTTGGAACCAATTAGGACTAAGTTATTGTATTTTTGGTGGTTGACCAATCCTAGGCCACACACACACACATTCTCTCTTCTCTCTCCCGTACCCTCTCATCTCTCTCGGACTCTCACTCTCTCTCTCCTTCGAACTCGTACGAACAAACACCCAAAGCCCTTGAAACTTCACGGATCGTGGTCACGAGTTGATTGGTACCCATTTCAGGTAAAGATACCTTCGAAAACCCTAGTTTTTCATATCCTCGATTTGTGCACTGTTCATTCACACGTAATTATGGATGTTTTTGGAAATTTGAAGCTTGTAGGAAGCTTAGTGAGATCCCAAGGAAGCTCGGAGTGCTTCGTTTGAAGGTTTTGGATGTCGGGATCGTGTGGACGAAGTTTGGCAGGTTTTTCTTGGAATTCTCCGGTGAGATTCCGTGACTTTTAGAGCTTTAAATTAGTATGATTGTGTTCTACAAGTTAAGAGCTTCATTTTGGTATAAATTACGTGAAAAATGGATGAAAAATGAATGAGTTATAGAGTTTTGAAAATTTCCCAGTTTTCCGACGACGGTGACGGTCGTCAAAGCTGAAGGTAGAAGACGAGAGGATATTCCGTTAAGTTTAACGGAATATTCTAACGGCACTAGGTCACGCCGTTAAGTTTTGTTAAGGAATAACAGAATATTCCCGGAATATACCTGACAACGTCAATTGACACCGTCAGTGTGCCTGGCACATGGGGGGCGCGTCTAGCCGTGCCATTGCCGGCGCGTGGGGGCGCGTGAGGCTTCCAAAAAAATTTCTAAAAATTTGGGGATGATCCTGAGGTTGTGTAGGTCACTGTGGTATATTCATATACCCATTTTGAGCTTTGTATGAGAAGTTATTAGCTAGTTTTGCCATGTGCTTTAAAATAACGTTTTTATAGTTAATTCACATATAGGTGAGACTTATCCTGAGGACGAGCGTATCCACGGGTGACTCGGGGGTTATGACCCGTCGACATACCAGTGAGTGGGCTTTTGTTTTCAGTATATATTTATATACTTGATATATTTCCCAGAAATGCATTTTTAAAGAAAGTATGCTTTGAAATAATATGCCAAATGCTTTTCTATTCTGAATATGCATTTCATAGTTGCATAGATATAAATGTGGTGTTGTGGAGGCACATGTAAGTCCAGGTAAGTTATGTTTGGTTCTGTGACTCATTGATGATTTGATATGTGAAATGATGTTGAGCTCATAAAACTGCACCTAGGGTGATTGTGATTTAGCCAGAAATATGAAGTACATGCCTATTTATTTATGTCACCTCCCGCACTGTATGCTCATATTGGATCCAACTTAAGTGCACAGTCTTGTCGTACAAACCTTATTTATGGTTCTGACTCGTAGGTGACTAGCGATTTATCGCCTGGCTATTATGAGAGAATAGAATTAAGCATAATTATATTACACCCAATCTTGTCGTACAGACCCATTTTTAGTGGTTCTGACTTATGTGCAGTATATTGCCATATAGGTCATTGTAGTGACTCCGGCTAGATTGACTTTTGAGCTATGAATTCAGTCATACAGACTACCACAGGGGTTCCGGCTAACGTATCATATTTCTATGAAATCATTCTTACCTGGATTGTTTACTTTGTTATATTTTGGCATGGCATACATATGAATATGATTATGTGAAGCATGAATTAATTGTTATGATTTCAGATATATATATATATATATTATGTATATGCTTATATCTTGATTCTGGGAAAAATTATACATGTTTTACAGCGAGGGATTAGATATGTTGATAAAGAAAATGATTTTGTAAAACATTTGTTTTTGCCCACTCACGTTTTCTATTTTGCACCCCTCCAGGTTTTAAGTAAGCTTGTTGTTGGTGGCTTGAGGACGTCGGCGGTTCTGACCTATCTAAATAATAGTAGGACATTCCTGGTACTGTATAATTAGTACTTGTTCTACTGGACTGCACCTAGACTTAATATGCTCTGCTTAGGAGTGTTTACTGTTGTAACTAACTCCTATCACTTCCTATTTAGTAGTGCACTCTAGTAATTCGGTTTTTAATTATTCGTATAATTCTTATCTTTATTGCTTCCGCACTATGCACATGGCTATGTCACTCTCACGTGACGGCCATCATACCTTGATCTCGGTCGAGGTGTGTCATTGGGAATCCCAAATTAAAATATGAAATTATGCATTATTCTTCAAATATATAATTCAAGAACACATTCATGAACTAGGAATGTCATTTAATTCACACTACCATTTAATCGAACACTAGCATGCCTGACTGTTTTTATTAGAGGCAAAATTTAAATTAATTAAACCCCTTTTGGCAATCTGTTGAGCGACAAAGGAATCACGCCTTCTAAAATCATCAATCATGACAGCAGCAATAATAAAATCCAAATGAATATAAAACAGAACATGAAAAATATGCAAGGTGTAGGGCATTCTAGGTTGCAGAGCATGAATTAGAAACTACTAGCATCAATTATAAAAGAATAATATATATAATATATATGTATAAATATATATATAATAATTAATACTATATATTTTCGGTTCAGTATAGGATTCCTGAAATATCGAGAAGCCAATCCTGAATCCCATGCCGAAATTTTGGGATCGGTTTAGGATAGCATCCGAGAATTTCAAGAATTTCGGTTTGGGAAATTTTTGGTTTGGGATCAGGATTTTTTCGGTTCGGTTTGGGATTTTCGGCAATTTTTTCCACCCCTATAAATGGGTTACTTAGAAAATTGCAACCCTCATTTCTGATTTTATAGAGAGAGAAACAGAAAGGAGAGAGAGAGAGAGAAAGGAAACCTTTCTCCTCCCCCACCTTCTCGTACCCCACCAGTGACCTGAACCATGAACAATGGCACATGTAAAGCCCATCTTTAATTTTTTCCTAGTTTTTGCTTCTCAGAATCTTTATGACTCTTTTTTTTTTTCTTCATGAGGAAACCTCTCTCGCCTCCCCCATCTTCTCGTACTCCGCCAGCGACCTGGAACATGAACATCCGCACAAGTAAAACCCATCTTCCATTTTCTGTGGTTTTTGCTTCTCAGGATCTTTATGACTCTTTTTTTTCTTCATCTTCTTTTTATGTTTGGCTTAAATTCTGCAAATTGTTGTATTTTTTTAATGAAATTTGATGCTTTGATTTGTAGAAATGAGCTTGAGTTTATTGTGATTTCTTGTTTGGTCGCACTTTTGAAGAAGTGATTTTGTTAGAGGAAAGTTGATTTTAGTTGATAAGTGGAATTGAATTTTGGGTTAGGGAATAATTTTGGTAACTTTGGTGGAGTTGTGTGAATTGAAACTTGTTTATACGGTTTGTTATGATTTCTAGTTTCCAAAATTACATCTTGGTATTGGTGGATAGTTGAGATGATTCTTTGCAGCACATATATAGCTTCTTTAATCTTGAGATTCACATTGGATTATAAAAATGTTCAAAGCTCTTGATCTGAGAATGGTTTTGAAGGATATACAAATAGTTGTTAAAGTTTTGCTTAACTTTGTCTCACCTTTTTTTCCCGTAGTATTGTTAAATTAGATGGTGAAATCTGCAAGGATTGAACAAACGACGAGATTTAACCGACGCAGAGCTGACTCTAAGATCCGATTCGGCTTCGTCGACGAGAGAGAGGAAGAGTGATAAATACAAAGAAAGAATGCTTGGACTACAATTAGATCCTACATCCCCAACAAAGGAACCTTGCCAATGGTTAGAAAATGCAGCTGACAAGCATGATGGGGAGGAGATTGGGGGTTGGTGGCTGCGAGACACTATTGGTTGGGAAGGGTTGCTGTTGGGTTTTCGGTTTTTTTTGTTTAACTTCAATTTTTATTTTTTAATTAAACTTAATTGAAAGTTTAACAGTGTTAGATATGAGGTTAAATAGAGGGACAGGTGTTAAAAAATTATAATGGAGACACAAAAGAGACACCAAGTAGGAGACAACAAACCTGTGACCTTATTCAAGAGGCAATTAAAGAAAAATTGTGCAATTTCCACAAGCAAGCATATATGAATAATAACTGAATGTTTGAGGAAAAAAAAAACAAACGAATACTTATGTAGCTAAACAAATGAGAAGTTGGTGTACGAAGGTAGCGAAGTAGCTAAATAAATAAGTGAATTCAGATAATGTTTTGAGAAAAAGATAGAGTTGAAGAAGATGTTGGCTGATACTTTCTATACGAGTCTAGTTTTAAAGGCGTTGATTACATATATAAAAAAAAAAAAAAAGATTGGGTGTTAGAATTTCAATTTTTTTTTTTGTTAAAATGCTCACAAAAATATTTTACAACAACGTTGTCACATCCCGGCCCTGGTCCACCACATGCCAGGCCCGTTCCACCACCGTAGCACGATATTGTCCGCTTTGGGCTTACCATTCCCTCACAGTTTTGTTTTTGAGAACTCATGAGCAACTTCC